TGAGGGACTAAACTCAGTCTTATATTACTCACACATAAAGGTTATTTTAGTATAATTCATTTCTCTCTCTGGTAGCAAGATAAAATATGCCGTATGTAGTAGTATATTAAGTGTCAGCCATAGATTACAAAGGTGGATAAAACGCTGGTATGGATCAGCAGTGTTTGTTTACATGCAACTCTCAGTAGACCATCAGCGGGGGGGGGGGTTAGGAAGGAGGGATGAGACTTATAGGCCTATTCTGAGACCAAGGAAACATAGGACTACCTTATATCATGGTACTATGGCCAGGTATTAGGTTAGGTTAGGTTAGATAATGGTGAAGATGACGATATCAAATGTCAGTGAACGAATCGACGTCGACTAATAAAATTAAATTTAATAATAACTTCGAGTTTCTCAATTGAGCTATAGTAAAGAATATAACGTTATCATTACCAGCTTTCACCTTCCACGTGATTTACTTCCAGTTCTCACGCCACCCTCTCCACCAACACGAATACACACACACACACACACACACACACACACATTATACTCGCAATGTTATTTCGTCTGTAAGTCAATTATTTGAGCAGTGCGCGACCAATTTTCATCTATTAGCACTGGCTCTGATTTCTACCTTCTCTGTAAGCACTGTGGCAAGTTTGAGTAGTATTATCATTATCAAAAGAGTTAATGTTGTTAGTACGAGTCTCTCACATTGATCGCAGGGGCGTATAGTGTTGGGAAGTACCACGACCTGACAGCCAAACCTATTATTATTATTATTAATATTATTAATATGGAAAGAAATGAGACGAACCAACCTAAACGTCCCAACCTAACCATAATTATGTACAGTCTCGTTCAAGAATCTTCGAAGACTGTTGGAGACAGCTAGCAGCCCAAGGCCGTTTGTTTACTATAGTACGTAGTATAATATAATATGAAACAACACAGCCCAGCCATTAAATTAAGCAACGGGGAACTAAGTAACCAATCACCGATCACTTTTACATTTATTCATAATTTTTACTACATACTATAGTAAACAAACGGCCTTGAGTTACCAGCTGTCTCCAGCAGTCTTCGAAGATTCTTGAACGAGACTGTACCAAGGGATAGGTTGGGTTAGGTTAGGTTTCCTTGTATCATCTAAAAAACATACCACTATCTTTCGTGTTAGAGGTTAGTTTCGTGAGGTGTGATGGCCGTGTTGTCGTGCTGGCCGTGTTACCATGTTGGCCGTTATAGTGCTGGCCGTGTTATAGTGCTGGCCGTGTTACCAGGACTTGTTGTTAAGAGAAATTCACCTTATAATTAATCCCAATTATACGCTGGCCCACTCAGTTGATTATAGTGATTACATCAGTACCGACCCTACCCACAGTCCACGCACGTGCTGAGTGAGTACTGTAGGTATACAAACATCAAGGCGTCACGTGAGGATTAGACACCCCAGCTTATTTCACCTGCTAATTAAAAAATAACTTTATGCTAACCTAACCAAACTTAATCTAATTTCATCTAACCTAACCTAACCTGAAGATTAATATTAAATTTATTGTTATTTCTTTATATTTCATTATACTGATTTTACATGAATTTATTGTATTTTTGTTATGTATTTTTTATAACTGTATTGAATAATGTTATCTGTGCGGTTGTTGGTTTGGTGTAAGATGAGTTTTAACAAGTTCTCGGGTTCACACACACACACAAACAGACACACACACAAACAGACACACACACACACAGACACACACACAAACATTACTCCTTTCCTTCCCATCTTCTGTTCACCATCTAGTACTCTCTCTCTCTCTCTCTCTCTCTCTCTTACTCTTCCATTTCCCGTTTTCCCCAATCCTTTCTCTCTCCTTGCAATACCCCAACACCCCCTCCCTCTCTCCACCTTCCCTCTACTTCCGCCCCCCACATCTTTCTCCACCCTCACCACCTCCCTCTTCCCTTGTTCCACTCTCTTCTCCCTTTCCTCCACCCCACCTCCCCCCCCTCCAGCCCCCACTTGGCACCTCTCACGACTCCATCGGCAGCTCTGTCCGACACACACGAACTTGGAAAATATATTTAAAAAAAAAATTGAATTAGTCCCCAAAACCCACATATATTTTCTACATATCCATTAGATAATATAAATTATAAATAAAAATATATATCTTTTTTGATATAGCGTTAATAATGGTTAACTTTTTTGTATGGTTTTAAATTTTGCTGAAAAGTATCGAGGGGAAACGGGTATATATTTTTTGTGCTCACTTTCTCTTGTTTCCTGCGCGGCAACTCTCAGTCTTTGTCTGGTGTGTGTGGGAGACTATAACTGACCTATGTATAAAATGTATCATTTATGCACTTTCTTATATACGTGTATACATACTGTATACACAAACATTCACACGGACCCGAGATACACATTGTAAGTTTTACGTACACAGGTTCAGGTTCACATAAAGGACGCCTGGCACACACGCACGATCACTGAGGAGGACCTCTCTGGTGTAGTGAGTGGTCCCTCTCTGGTGTAGTGAGTGGTGTGAGTGGTCCCTCTCTGGTGTGGTGAGTGAGTGGTCCTCTCTGGTGTAGTGGTGGTCCCTCTCTGGTGTAGTGAGTGGTCCCTCTCTGGTGTGGTGAGTGGTGTGGTGGTCCCTCTCTGGTGTGGTGAGTGGTCCTCTCTGGTGTGGTGGTGGTCCCTCTCTGGTGAGTGGTGTGGTGGTCCTCTCTGGTGTGTGAGTGGTGTGAGTGGTCCTCTGGTGTAGTGAGTGGTCCCTCTCTGGTGTGGTGAGTGGTGTGAGTGGTCCCTCTCTGGTGTGGTGGTGGTGGTGTCCCTCTCTGGTGTAGTGGTGGTCCCTCTCTGGTGTAGTGAGTGGTCCTCTCTGGTGTGGTGAGTGGTGTGGTGGTCCTCTCTGGTGTAGTGGTGGTCCCTCTCTGGTGTAGTGGTGGTCCTCTCTGGTGTGGTGGGTGGTCCTCTCTGGTGTAGTGAGTGGTCCCTCTCTGGTGTGGTGAGTGGTGTGAGTGGTCCCTCTCTGGTGTGGTGGTGGTGGTGGTGGTGTGAGTGGTCCCTCTCTGGTGCCTGGTGTGGTGGTCCCTCTCTGGTGTGGTGGTGTGGTGGTCCCCCTCTCTGGAGTGGTGTGAGTGGTCCCTCTCTGGTGTGAGTGGTGGAGTGGTCCCTCTCTGGTGTGGTGAGTGGTGTGGTGGTCCTCTGGTGCAGTGGTGGTCCCTCTCTGGTGTAGTGGTGGTGAGTGGTCCCTCTGGTGTAGTGAGGTGTGAGTGGTCCCTCTCTGGTGGTGTGGTGTTCCTCTCTGGTGTAGTGAGTGGTGAGTGGTCCCTCTCTGGTGCCCTCTGGGTGAGTGGTCCCTCTCTGTGGTGTGGTGGTCCTCTCTGGTGTAGTGGTGGTGGTCCCTCTCTGGAGTGGTGTGAGTGGTCCCTCTCTGGAGTGGTGTGAGTGGTCCCTCTCTGGTGTAGTGGTGGTGAGTGGTCCCTCTCTGGAGTGGTGTGAGTGGGTCCCTCTCTGGAGTGGTGTGAGTGGTCCCTCTCTGGTGTAGTGAGTGGTGAGTGGTCCCTCTCTGGAGTGGTGTGAGTGGTCCCTCTCTGGCCCAGCTCCGTGATAAAACAAGTCATGGCGTCAGTCTACAATAAACCACTAAATTCCTCCCTCTGTTGAACGAATATATCGTCAGTTTCTTCTCTACCTTAATTATTTCTTCTTTTTCTTATTCTTGTGGGTTTTTTCTGTCTCCTGTTGTCAATAACGTTAAATTTATCGCCCGTGATTGGGTAATACAGATCAACACCTGGGACCTAACCTAACCTAACCTAACCTAACCTAACCAATCCAAACCTCACTAAACGACAAACACTGATACTACAATAGGTTTTTTTTTACTTTATTTCAGCAACTAAGGATTTTAAAAGCCTAGCTAAGTTTATATTTTCCCCCTCTGGTTAAGTGATATACAGTAGATATGATTTCAATGTGTTTTTAAAAGTTCTCGAACCTGTAATTGACCTGCCAGCCAGTCAGCCAGCCAGCCAGCCAGTCAGCCAGCCAGCCAGCAGCCAGCCAGCCAGTCAGCCAGTCAGCCAGCCAGCCAGTCGGTCTATACGCCAGTGGACAGCCTGGACCTGACTCACACGGGGGACGAATGGCGGGAGAAAGGAGAGATACGAGGAGAGAGGATGGATGGAGGAGGGAGTCAGATATAAGGGAAGGGAGAAAGAGGAGGGAAGAGAAGATGAAGGGTAGTGGTGAAGGAGAAGAGTGAGAAAGATGAAGGGAAGAGGAAGAGGGTAAGCGATAAAGAAGAGGGGTGGACGAGGGGGAGGAGGAGGTGGTTCCGGTATTCCAAGAAGACATTATCGGCGGGGGGGGGGGAGGGGGTACAGGTGCTGAAGGCCATCATGTGAGGTGGACCTGCCGCAGACAGCTCACTCATAATGTCGCCTTTATTCTCCTTAACTGTAGATCACGTTCACCATAGTTATTGACACTGTAACCGGCACTGTACTTTACCGCCTCTCACGTCTCACTTCCCAAACTGTAAACATAGGTGCACATTCAGCAGTTGGATGGACAGATGGATAGAATTCTTGGTGTAATTTTTATTCGTGTGTAGTACTCGTAGTGAGGCGTAAAATTACGAGTTTGTTTACACGTTTGCTCGCTAAACCGGCACACGTGGAATAACTGTGACCTGATTGGCTGGCAGTGACAGGCAGGCAGGCAACACGCCCCGCCTACCGGACCTCGATGCCTCTGCCGACCTTACCAAGACCCTCCTCTAATATAAATTTTCATCCGATAATTTCACAGCACGGGTAATGTAAGAGGTAACGATGATGCAAGATTAATATTTCATCACTACAATGGAATTTATTAGTGACAGGTAGATGCAGGTAAAACAGGAAGACCGTACAGTACAGGTGGTGGTGCGCGCGTCTCCGTCCCCACACTGGAGGGAACCTGTTACTCCAGAGGGAGCATCGAGCCCCTGCCCGGCCGTCACTCTCAGTACTGGCGGGGATGTGCTCCTGAGTGGTTGTGGTTGACGTCTCTCACACACTCCACCAGAGAGGACTTGGGTTGACGGCGCGCCATGATCAACACGATTGTTCATGTTGGCGCCGTGCCATTTGGCTACACCAGTGAGATGAATGAGTGTGTGCTGCACTACCCAGATGGTCACTGTCTGGGGACTCCCGCCGTCACCTGGTATAACAGTGTCACAGGTAAGGGAACATGTCACTCTGTGGGGGGCGTGTGTGGGGGGACGCGTATGTGTGGGGGAGGGGGCGTGTAGGTGCGGGAGAGACGTGTAGGTGTGGGGACGTAGGTGTGGGGGACGTAGGTGGGGGGACGTGTAGGTGCGGGAGGGACGTGTAGGTGCGGGAGGGACGTGTAGGTGTGGGAGGACGTGTGTTTGTGGGGGCATGTACAGTGTATATGTGTGTGTGTGTGTGTGTGTGTGTGTGTGTCAGACCCTCAAAACATTACACACCTTACAGTAATTAACTCTAGTCAAGGTAGTAACACAAGACGCCACGAACTTCACTAGTAACAATATTCTGTGTTAAATAATGTTAAATATAATCGTCTCTCCCACCAACACCTAGACTAAGCTTAAGCTGATTTTATTTTCCTTAAGCTTCATAGAACAGGAGTCTATACCAATAGTAAACGGGAAGAGAACTTAACTCTGACACACTTCTGTCTGTCTGTTCATCCGTTAACAGTATTACTAATGCACCAAAACCTTTTCCACCACATAAAAAAATAATTATTCAATAAACAATAATTTCAACAGCAATAATAATTAAAACTATCAATTTAACACAATAATAAAAATTAGTTACATTAACATGAGTAAACACAGGAATTAAATAAACCTTGATGGAATAAAAGCGGGTTTCTAAAACACCAACAGATCATCATTGTGAGGTGGTAATAACATAAGGTTACATTGTGGTATGATACGGTTTACGTTTGCTAGGTGCTACTGCTGGTGTTATGAGTCTCCTGATGGTGAAATGCTGGTACTATGGGCCGCTATATCTGCTTTAAATGACACGATACACAACCATGCCTCACTGTGTGCCCATAAAACCATGATGAATGTTGACGTGGTGTTGAAATACGCGTGGCTGGTGTCGAAATACGTGTAATTGGTGTCGAAATACGTGTGGTTGGAGTTGAAATACGCATGGTTGGTTTTGAAATACGTGTGGTTGCAAAATACGCATGGTTGGTTTTGAAATACGTGTGGTTGCAAAATACGTGTGGTTGGTGTTGAAATACGTGTGGTTGCAAAATACGTGTGGTTACGAAATACGTGTGGTTGCGAAATACGTGTGGCTGGTGTTAAAATACGTGTGGTTGAGAAATACGCGTGGTTGGTGTCGAAATACACGTGGGATGTGTGTGTTTTGGCGGGATGTGTGCGTTTTTGGCGGGATGTGTGTGTTTTTGGCGGGATGTGTGCGTTTTTGGCGGGATGTGTGCGTTTTTGGCGGGATGTGTGCGTTTTTGGCGGGATGTGTGCGTTTTTGGCGGGATGTGTGCGTTTTTGGCGAGATTTGAGTGATGACAGGACGGTTGTGTGATTGCTGCACGAAATATATGCTCTTATCATGCCTCGGTACCTAAGTATGCTTTTGTCATGTTGACTACCATACCCGAATTATCCTTAGCAAAATCTTAAGATACCTTGGTAATATTTATAGTCAATCATGCAATCTTATTTCCATGTGCGTATGTCTTTTGTTTGGGTAAATATTGTATAGAAATCATAAGTGAAATAATTCGCATTTCAAGACGATTCAATCCTTTTAAGACCGCGTAATCTGTATAAAGTAGTCAATTAATTATCAACATGTTAGTGCGCATACCTTAGTTAAAGAATCCAAACCTATAAGTAATGTAGGTGTTTTGATTTCATAATAGACATCTTTTAACGAGGAGATTAAGTACTGATCAAAGTTGCGTTAGTGCGGGGTTAGTTTATGCAAACGTAGCATCTATAATGTGACGTAATACAATTCACGGTGAATTATTTACCTCATGCGGGAAACATGTTCAATCAGTCAGTGTAGTCAATTATGGCGGATATTAAGCTGAATAACATACGTAATCTCTCTCTGTACATTTTATTTCCCTAAACAGAGAAATGTCTTTCATCTGTATAGAGTATGTAATAAAAAACCCAGCGGCGTGTTTTTAAAACCGTCAAGACATTTTTATACCGCGTCGTTTCAAAGGTTGAGCGACGGCCAGTGTTGGAAAAATAACACCACTAAACGTCTACTCATTTTTCTTTCTTAAAGCAAATGAATTTAATCTTAATTTAGATCAATGAACCCAAAGTCAGTTTTAGTCATGTTAGGTTAAGTTTTGGATGGTTCGTGGCATAGCGGTTGGGTTCGTGGTATTTTATTTTAACGTCAGTCATTTAGGCGGGAAAGCCTTTACGCGTCACAAAATCAATACTGAAATGGTGGGACCGGGCGCTTGCTTACGCCATACACAGTGACCTTCTATACACAACATTTGTATAACTAGAACTGCCTTGTGCAAAATTCGATTAATACAATACTATAATCGCCATTTAAACTATTAAAATCAAAATATTTTAAGAAGATCGACAACTATAAAATTGGTATTGATAAATAATATTTCTAATAGAATAGCTAACTTCAGTTAATGAGACACCAGATATTCCCTTGCCCCCTCAGAATAATCTGCATGTCAAAATTTACATCTTTTTTTTTTTACAATATGAAGGAATAACAGACGACGAAACAAACTTTTAACTATCAATTTGAACCTCTTAAAAAATCAACAAACCAAAAGGAATTCCAAATCTCTTTCGATCCTTCATTGAGTTGCAAACAGAAGACAATGGTAGGGGTAAATACTTGCTTGTACTGTTATATACGACTCCTTAATATTTAGCTGGGGACTAAATAAAAAAACGAGATTAGGTGAATACGATCAAGGTATAAAACAACGGAATTTTTTATATAATCAGACCGGATATTAACGAATGGAACTCTGAACATGGTTTGCTGGAAAGTTAAAATAAACAGATGGAAAAAAAATTATTAAAACCAGAGTCTTTGGTTACGAGGGGAGATAAATGTTACTTTCCTACAGGGACCTAAATATTATGTGAAACTCAAGTATAATGGAAATATTTTTTTTGAAGGGTTTACTTGTATAAATTTTATATGACATTTAATATCGTCAGAATATCAGAGAAATAATTATTTTATTTTGTCCAGGGATGCCGCCATTACCAGACGTCATCCTGAGCAACACACCACCACCTTCACCCCTCCGTCGGGACCACTCTTGCCTGCTACACCTCCCTCAGGAGACTAATACCAACACCTACGATCCTGTCACTCTCTCCTCCACCCCCGCAACTCAACCTTCCTTCTCTCTATTCTTTAAAAGACCAAACTCGACCAACACTTCCCCCACCGATGAATCTTTAGAACAGAGTGAGGGCGTGAGAGCAACCCTGGCCACACCTCACAGTGATCACCACCTTCACCATCTCCGTAAACTGTTGTGGGCGATAGAGTGTTGTGGTCACGACTCTCTAACACCCGTGGACAAACGAGACAGGAAACATGGACAGAATGACGACAGTGGAGCAGATAAACAGAGAAGGTGGAGACTGGCTGGTGGACGCCTCCGCAAGATGGCTGACCTGTTTGAAGCTAACCACACCAAGGTGAACCTCGATGTACATGTTCAACTCATGAATAAATTTCCAAATTTCTTTTTGACCAATCGTTTGTGGTGTAAATTTCTTCGGCCTGTAAATGAAGTGATTTAAAATTTAAATTAAAAATATCACCTGTATATTGACACCCGTTACTCATATTACCATAGTATTAAATTTCTGTATTATGGTACCAACAGAGAGTCTTTGTTGTCAGGGTGTGAAGAAGACTGCCCGGGACCCCCTGATCCCTGCCATAGCTCTCCCTGTCTCCCTCACCTGCTGCGTCTCCCTCACTATCCTCTGCTTCGTCTGGTGGAGAATCTACAATAAGTTTCGCTGATCGCCTGCCTGGGTCGCCACTACTTCACGACAACTCGCCTGAGAAGACTGGCCAGCAGGAGTAGGTGACCTTGGCTGACTCCTTCTGTGGGGTGTTCGATATATCTGGCGTTTGTTTTACTCAGACTAAACCCACGGGAGACTCACAGCCTTAATGACCCCCATGACTTAACTGATCCTCGGGAGTACGTATCATCAGCGTGGGTAGGTCAGGTCAGAGGACACAGGATAAAGTTGTAAGGTTTAAGATCAGACGATTCAGCTGGGTTTTTTTATGATGGTGATGTAATTTTGTTCTGGTAATTAAGGTAATTTATGAGGAACTAATATGCAGCAGTGAATTTGTAGCTCTGCGTTTAATGGGTTAGTAACAGTTTGTTTTGGTAGGTCCTGAACCAACTGCTAGGGAAAGGCTCACTGAACACTGTCCTTTTCACGGGTGTCTCAGATGTATGGTGTCTACAGCGCCCGTAACTACTTGATAGATTTCAGATTAATTTTCTTCTGGTTCATTGAGTGAGTATTGACGGTGTACAGTACAGCAGAGACACACGAGGGAGTCTCACCAGATGTTTGTGGCCACGACTCGTACTTAAGTCGCCTCTTAATACTGGACCTCTGGGTAGACGTGACCGGCCCAGCCTCTCACTCACCGCCACTGCCCTTCAGTCTTTCATCGAGGAGATGACTTTAGATACCCAATAAAGGCCAACAATATGGCCGTTTTTAAGCTATACAGTATATGATCTTTCTCGACGGCCGAGAGTAATTTATACCAGGGTCGTGTTGACGGTCTGTACAAGCACATCTACTGTGGCTTGCCTGCTTGTTTTCCTCTCGCTACACCCAGTGCGCATAACGAGTGTAGATTGTTCTCTGTTGACATGCCAGGGTTGTAGATTTCACAGTGAATATAGAACACACTGCCCAGCTGGTTGCCCTGACCAGCTGTAGTAAACTACCAGTCTTTCAACAAGTCTCGTATGACTTCCTAGGTTTAAGGCTGTAGAATAAGGACAATTGGTTTAAGGGACGTTTCAACAAATTACATTTAACTTTCCCCAGGCTGACTACATTTAGTTAGTGATGACTGGTAAGAATAATAATGAATACAAAAAACTTTAATTCTCTGGCCTTCATATAAACGTGTCCTAAAATTTTCTTTGTAAATAATAATGAAATATTTACATAAACTATACTGGAGACGTCATACAACCAACAACAATTATTAATGCAAACACCGGCGTGTGTATATACTGTATACTCGTGTATATATATACACACGAAGTCAGAATCTCTTACATACATCAACCCAGTGAGAATAGTTCACCTGTGGCACAAATACGTAAGCAATAGAAGGTCAAAACTCCAGTATAATCGTATGTTTGTATGTCTGGGATGTATAGCGGACTTACTGCCATTACTAAGGACACTGTATTCCCTAACTTGGTCTTTCAGTTGTGTACAGAAGCCGTGTGTAGAGTCACTGGTGCTTTATTGTAGAAAATCCGGGACACAGACACACTACCACCACCCCAGGCGACTGATGAAGTATTCTCTCTCTCAGAGTATTAAACTTTCCATTATTAACTTATTTTTCCTTAATCCTAAAAAGTATTTCATATGTGAGGAAGATGAACAATTTGTAAGGCAATCCTAACAAGACATATACTGTACATTACTCTCACACGTGTCCTGGAGTGGTGGATGCGTCGACCTGTGCCAGCGGTCATCAAAGCTGTACCACGTGATAATCCGACAGTAATGTAGTTGTAAATATTCACATGACATCGGGCGGCGCTTTACGTTGATGTGGTGATGGAGGAGTGAGAGAGTTGTTTACGTTTTTGCTTCGGTAGACGATGAAAGCAAGCGTCCGGCCCCAGTACCTCCATGTGAATTGCTAATATAACCCTTAAAGTACTTGTGGAATTAGGACCAGAATTGCTTAGGTGATTGGTAAAATAGGCCCCCCCACTCATAAGAGGATGCCAATGGGAATAATTTAGCCATTACGACTGGGGCCCCCAATTCTAATAGGTACCTGTCCTAATTGGCCACACATTTCCATTACTTAACCTTTAGATTGGAGCCTAGTACCTGGTCCCAATTGACTTCAATCTAAATCTGGTTAAAGTTAGATTGGGGCCCACCAGGACTGGGGCCCATTTGATCCATACAGCCACTGCTTCAACCTCTTCATCTGGTTTGACCCGACTACATGGAGACACTGCCAGGCTGATTTTGAAATAGGATGTTAAAATACATTGTTTAAATAGCTGTAGACCCCAAATAATTGTCTAAGTCCTCAGTATAGTGTTGCAATGCTGCCAAGGATGAGAAAAAGGTTAATATTTCAGGACCATTAAACTTCGAGACCAAAATTTAAAATCACGTCAGCCAAAATATTAATTCACTAAAGAATGATTTTCATCGACTTAAAAAAATAATGATTTTCCTTGAATGTTAAAAACAAGATATTATTTCCCAAGGTCTGATTTCCATTGAGAATTTAAATGTCAACAAAAATTAAATTAAAAATACTTGATGGTCATCCTTCATTTGTTTCGTCAAGCAAAAACTGACGTTGTATGGGAGAGTGAACCTTGGCAGCACTGTGCGGGTCAATACGAGTTTAAAGGACCCATGAACCCACAATCCCAGTTTCTTGGTAATTCATACGACAAATTTTTCCCTATATCTGAAGATTTAAAATATACATTTAACACAACAGCTTCAAAACAGCGTCAGAATTACACCGAAATAATACCGAGACTAAACTTGAATTATTTTACCTTAAGTCAGAGGGGAAAATATTAAACGTAGGAATTTTAAAAAATCTGGATCTAGTTTTCGTGGGTTCATCAATCCTTAAGACAAGTTCGTACAATAGATGTGTTTTTAATACACGTGAAGCACCAGCCTAGCCCAGTCCTAGCCGAGTGTGTGTGTGTCAGTAGAAGTGTGTTACATTAAATATTCTAGTCGATATCTGAGCATTCTGTGATATTAGTGTACAGTACAGTAACATATATGGCTGTTCGCACAGGCAAATTTTGAGTGTGAGCTCAATATTAAATTAATTGAGATCTGAACGTGTTGATGTGATCAATTTTTATACTAGTTTCAAAATGGATATTGAGGTGCGGACAATCAATCAAATGCCGAGGCAGTGGTCAGCCCATGACTCTGTTTATCTTCTCAGTGATCAAAATTATCCCTGACCACAGCCTCGTGCAGTTACTGGATCTCATCTCTCAAGTCAACAAGTGTATAACCAGGCTCTTGTAGTGCTGCTTAGATTGTTGTGACTGACGCACCTTCTAAAGATTTCTTGGAATTTGTAGAGACATTTTATTGGATGTCAATCATGTCACTGTGAACTTTGATCTAAATTTTGAGAAATAAAGTAATCTAGTATTATGATTTTTATTAATAATTACCTACGGTACTGATTGTTGTATAAGTATTTTGATGACAGCTTGATAATTCACGCAAATATCATAAACCCGTCAAATACCAAGCAAATGCGTTACCCTAATATCGACATAAGTGTTTCAGATACAAGTTCTTCATACACCCCTTTAAAATACAATCACCTGCAGTATTTGAAGTCAAGTTACCAAAGCCTGTAAGATAACGGGCTTCCAGTACATTATATCCTATTAACTGACGGTACTGATACAACTTACTATACAAAGTCTCAAGTACAAAGGATACAGTATGGCTGACAGTACATTCAATCGCCTCCACTTTCCCTGCTTCATGAACATCAGGCAACCACTGGGTGAACCGAGGTTGTCCTGGGCACGAATTAGCAATATACAGTAAAGCACAAGAGACGAGAGCTCTGTTCACTCGGCCACCGCATGCACGACGTAACTCGAAGACCTCCTACATTTTCTTAGTGATTCTTATTCGTCACAGAAAACGGATAAATAAAAGAGGAAGACTTCAAAGAAAATGGCGTCATAGAAGGGGTAACTATAACGGTAGGTAGTATTTTTCAACACTTAAATTATATCGGAAATCTCTGCTTTGTACTGTGCAGGCCTGCGTTATAGTGTTTAAGATGTTTTAATATTTTCTTTGTCCGAGGCTTCTCACACACACACACACACACACACACACACACACACACACACTTGAAATGAACTGTAGTTTGAGCTGATCCCCATCTAAGTTATTATATGTCTTATTTGTGTCACTTATGTTACTTGTATATTATTTGTAATTCGTAACCCATTCCCCAAATATGTAACTGTATATTTTCAGCCTTCTGGCTGCCAAGCTCTTTCAATAAACCGTTAATTATTATTATTATTATTACACACACACACACACTACTACTACTACTTTGCTGTCATTCGGAATCGAGTATGACGATCATCCAGCTATGATACAATGATATGAGTTATTAGGGATGTCACCTTCATTGGTGAGTTTTGAGGTGACTAAAGAGGCCAATACGGGGCCGGCAGAGTTGTTCACAGATGTTGCACCTGTGGAGGGCTACATCGAGTGAGGGAGGGGCGGTGACAGCGCCTTTCCGGCGTTGGCGCGTCTGCCTCAGTTTGCAGTCGGGCTAACTTGAAAGTATTGACACCTTCCCGTGTGGTGCTCCTCTAAGCGTTACGACATGGAGTAATCGACTCCCAGGTGAGGGGGTTGATTTGGCACTTTTTCAGGTTTGTCTTAAGACTATCCTTATACCTCTTCAGTTGCCTGCCGACGTTATGTTTACTATTCGTTAGGCGACTGTAAAGTATCTACTTTGACAGTCTACTGTCGTACATGTGGGTAACATGGCCAGTCCAGCGTAATTGTTTATGGTAGCCTCGATGCTCCTACTGTTGGCGTCAGTAAGGATGCTGGCATTTGTTCTCTTGTCTTCCCAGCGAACTAGGAGGATGGAACGTAGACGTACGTTGGTGAAAGTTTTCAAGTGCCTTGAGGTGCCTCCTGTATGTAATCCATGTCTCGCTGCCATATAGCAGGGTGGGGAGGACCACTGCTCGATATACGTGTATCTTTGTAGATAATTTCAGCTCCCTACAGCTGAAGACACGGTATCGGAGTTTGTCAAAGGCTTGAGATGCAGTTCTGATCCGATGCTGAATCTCTTCATCGATGTCAGCGCTGGTGGACAGGTGGTAGCCGAGATACCGTAAGTGGGTAACATTAGAGAGGGTAGTACCGTTGAGCTGGGTGGATGGTGGAGGTGTGTCTGAACCAGGGGCAAGTTGAAAGAGAATCTGAGTCTTACTTACATTCACCTCAAGGCCGAAGTGTGCATACGCATCTGCGTAGGTGTTCAGGCTCTCCTGTAGGTCGCGTTCAGTGTGAGCAACAAGAGTGAGGTCATCGGCATACTAAGGTTCAGTAATGGAGGCTGCCGACACCTTTGTTCTTGCCTGGAGTCGTCTTACGTTGAAAAGACCCCCCTTCACCCGGTACTCGCTGTCCACCCCGCCGGCTAAATTGGCACGACTAAGGAAGGCAGCAGGGAAAATAGAAAAGAGAGTTGGTGCCAGTACACACCCTTGTTTAACCCCCGTTTGGATGGAGAAGAACTCAGACTGGGTGCCATTGTGCAAGACACTGCCATTCATGCCATCGTGGAGTTGCCTCACAATGGCACTGAATTTTGGGGGCAGCCTACACGGCTGAGGGTCCACCAGAGGGTTTCCCTGTTAACCGAGTCAAAGGCCTTGGTTAGGTCGATGAAAGCCATGTACAGGTCGCGATGCTGTTCTCTGCACTTATTCTGTATCTGACAGGCAGCAAAGATCATGTTAGTAGTGCCACGTGATGGTCTAAAGCCCATTGAAATTCTGGGTGGAAGTTTTCCGCCTCAGGAAGAAGCATGTTTAGGAGGACTCGGGCAAAACTATTGCCAGCTATAGACAGCAGCGAGATCCCGCGGTAGTTGCCACAGTCTGACCGGTCTCCCTTGTTCTTATAAATACTGACGATGGAGGCGTCTTTAAGAGCTTGGGGGATTTCCTCCTTTTCCCACATTTTCTCCAGGAGAGAGTGGAGACGGCTGGTAATCAGAGGTCCTCCTGCTTTATAGACCTCGGTTGGGATTCCATGCATCAGACCCTGAGGCTTTGTTATTTTTCATCTGGTTGATGGCAGTAGCTACCTCGTCCTGGAATGGAGGATAGCTGAGGTAGGTCAGCTCTGGATGCTGAGGGACTTGCTGGGTAGTCAGGACATCCACATCAGTGAATGGAAGTGCTCTTTCCAATGCTGAAGGGGGCCTTCCTCGTCCTTAATTATGGAGTTACCGTCGGATGAGCGGAGGGGGGCTGCACCACGAGTGATTGACTCATAAAATGTTTTGATGGAATTGAAAAATTCGCGCATCTTGTGCCGATCTGCAAGATTTGTGTTTCACATGCTTTATTTTAAACCAGTCATTCTTTATACTGCGAAGTTTTCTTCTTGCGGAAGGTATCAGCTTTGGTTCGAGACTGAGGATTGTTCTGCCAGTCAGTTAAAGCAGCACGTTTATCATTGATGAGTACATTGATTGCCAGGTCATTTGCATCAAACCAGTCCTGGTGTATTCTTTCGATCTGGCCGAGGGTCTCTGTAGGTTTTTGTTATGACAGTGTTGAGAATATCCCATTTAGCACTGGGATTTGGTTTGTTCATTGTCGGGCTGCTCTCTGAAAGTATGTGCTACCGCTGGATCCTACAGACGCTTAGTGTTAAAACCTCATCTAGAGGCTTGTTTTACACACACACACACACACACACACACACACACACACACACACACACACACACACAGAATAACAATAATTTACTTTGGTGGTGAAAAAAAATCTTGTTCACAAATTTATTACTATCTTAGGGTAAAATTTCAACAGTTGCATTTCCACTCGTAAATTTGATTACAACTCGTAATCTTTATTATTATCCGGTATTTATGTAGTTTATGAGTATTAACCAGAGAAATAAACGCCAGAAACGAGATCACCTTCAAGCATATATTGGGGCTCATGAGTGGAGAGTGAGGGAAGCGTGACACAGTTTCTTAATGAGGACAAAAATAATGATGTTGTGGAGGAGGCGAGACGTCCTAAAACTGGTGTTGTCGTACACCTGGGGTAGCTAGTGCCTCTTGAGATGTGCTTCTTGGTGCATGAGACCCACTTGGAGCACCAGAGATGACGTGCCACTCGAAAAGATGATTAACAGGAAGTGACGCCTGCGTGGAAGAGTCCCATGACGGGGGAAATGTTATAATGCAGTGACCGTAAGTCCTTGTTTTTCACACACACACACACACACACACACACACACACACACACACACACACACACACACACACAGTATATTTCTGTATATGTGTTTTCCGATTTAATCTAAGTTTAGCATTTTAAAGACAAAATTATATATGAAGTATCTTACATTATGTAGTAAACAATGTACAGTACCCTCATATTATGCACTAACAACGACCACTAAAGGGTTCCTTCAACAGCAACACTCCTCAACTCTTGCCTGGGGGTTTAAGTTGGCCTCTCTCTCTCTCTCTCTCTCTCTCTCTCTCTCTCTCTTCTTATCCAACATTTACTTAACTAATTTTAGGCAAAGTTTGGTTAAGTCAGGTAAGGTTTGGTTATATAATGTAATATACTTAGTTAGTTCCCGTTCTTTACATGATATAACTCGTTGATTAATACTTGAAATGGTTCCTTTACATATAGTGATAATCGAGGAAAGATATAACCATGCGTGTTAACATCCTGTCATATCAAGATCTACAGTTAACGAGTCCTCACGCAGATGTTTCTCCTGGGATGATAAAATTAGAACAGCCTAATACCATTCCTCCGCCTACATTATCAGCCACGGGGTAAAAATCAAGCTAACTTCTTTCGAGTAAAATTATTGTCGTAAAGTCCTGAAATAACCTAACAGAGAGGCCTGTGTTTGTGATCTTTAAGACAAGATCTGACCAACACTGGCACATGTTCATGTAAATTCAAGAGTCACTTATGCCTGGTAATGGAGACTTGACCGATCGCTTGACCTGCTAGTAAGGTGACAAGTAGTGAAGATGATTAAGAGAAACAAAAATTCAAGAAAGAGAATTGTAAGGGAAATTGAAGCAAAAGGAGTGTATAGAAAGTGACGGGAAAAAGATTATAGAAGAGTTATAGAGATACAACACACACCCATGCACACACACACACACACTCACACACACACTGCACGCAAAACATATTGTTTCATATTCTCAACTATGGATAATTTCGTAAAATGTAAGAGGTGAACGAACACATACAAGCACTTTCTTTTCATGGGACCTTATCAGAGAAAGTACGTGTGTGATTCAGGTTGGATCAACACTTAAGAACTCAGTTTAATTCAGGAACTGTTTTTGAAATTCCC